CAAGCAGCTGACCTGCGACACTGAACAGCCTCACCACTGGAGTGTAAACAGATTCAAACTCTCGCAGGAACCCCTACCAGTGCTGGAAAGTTCTGAGGCTTGACAGACAATGAGTGTGACGAAGCGTTTGAAGATATGGTAGATAAGTCCCCCACAAATGTGAAAGGAGGATGAGAAAGCACAAGAGAGACTCTGGCAGGAAGGGGACCACCTCCCCCTTCCCATCAGCACACCCCAGGTTGCGTTTGCTCAGTGCGTCGAATGTGTTCACTCATCCCTCTTACAGTCTAAGTCTGCGTAGATGGTGAGGCGTTTCACCAGCCCATTTCCATTCAGGTACGGTGCCCATTTCTCCAGTTTTGCTTTCTTGTACAGGATCACCTTCCTCCCCTGGGAACAGCGGGTTCCAAACTCTGCAGTGGGCAAGAGAGGTGTCAGAAAAATGGACTCCCTTGTACTCAGCCCAAGGAAACAGAATTCAAGAGGGAGAAAACCATGGTCTAAGGGAAACCACGCATTTATTGATTGCGTTCAGCTGCCAGTAAAGCTGTTCAGACCCTGCCTGTTGTGCTTTAATGTTATAATAGTATAACAACTCTTTTCTCTCCCAAAGCAGATATTTGATAATGCAGGGGCAATACCTTGTGCATAGCGGTAACAGAAAGTCCATCCCAGGCAAAATCATTCAGCTAGCAGGAAAACACAGTGTGTGTGTGTGTGTCTGGGGGGGGTTCCCACCCAGGATGAGACAGTGCACGGAGGGCAGGCGTTCAAACCAATAGCTGTTGCTGCCTTCATCTACTGCACTTCACTGCTGTATGTTGTCCATCCGGAAGGAACAACTCTTGAGTGTGATAAATAAGTGTCCCAAATCCACTAAAAGGTTAGCTGGGGGGCAAGCAAAAGGCAAAGGAAGAATACATACCTCTGGGAGATATCTGAATTGGGGCTACCCACGATGGTGGCATGTCAAAACTCATGTCTTCCTCCTCCTTTTTCCGCTGAAACACCTGCTGAAACAGAAGCAGAGATTTGCATTTTTGGCTGCTACTCTTACTGTGCCAGAAGGCATTAGAGAATGCGGTGCAGCGATCAGAGCTCAGCTCATGTGAGGCTGGGCTGGTCCTGGGGAACACGGTGGCACAGTTAGGAGAGCTGTGTCGGTCACACACAGCCTGCAGAGAGGCAAGCAGCACACTGCAGTTTACGTGGAAGGAGAGCTTTATTGCATCCCCACGCTCTCACTAGCACACCCCTACTCAAGCCTAACGAAATGATCTTCTGGCTAACGCTCATGTTGGATAGGGGATGAATGTGATAATCATCATTCAAACTAATGACCAGCTTGTTTTATGTAGAGCATGGAGGGCGCTTTGCTCCCCAGCTTTGGGGAGAGGCTGAGGAGAGTAGGTAACAGGAGGGAGTGTACTGTTATTGGCGTTCCTCTGTCCTGCTGTGCTGGTGCAATGCCTGCTTTGTCATGCTATGTTCTCCCACCAGGACAACGTACCATTTTTTGCTTCCAGAAGACAGTATTTTTTTGTATATTAGAGTATATACATTATTTCTACATCTGGCAACTCCACCTAGCAGCCAGG